AGAAGAGGAGGAGAGGGTTCAAAAAAGAGTTTAGTCTCTCTGTAATGTTTTCAGTTTCCATAAGAAGAATCCATTTATGAAATTTAAAATGAATGTATTTTGTATTAAAAGGTAGTAGTAAAAACCAGCTCACGGAGGGATGGAATGTTCTGGGCTTGCACTCTCTTTGGGATCACTTAAGATTTTTCAAGTCAAGCCATGGGCCATCTGTTGCCTAGTGAAAATGGAGGCATGGGGATTTGGGAGACATGTCCCCACCTGGTGCCCCCATCTGGCTGCATGACCTTGGGAGGGTCCCATCCCCTTTCCTGACCTCAGTGTCTTCATCTGCCCAATGGGATTCGGATTTTTGTGTTACCCTGGGATGTGGGAGGATGAATGAGGGCAGGAGGAGAATCACATGAATGCAAGGGATTATTCTCTACATCAGGGGAGGAGACAGGGTGGGAGCCTCTCTTCCACCCGCCAAGCCCACAAGGGTGCAAAGGAAGTGGAGGGAGGAGCTGGGGACCACCCAGGCGAGCACACAGCCCATCTGCAGGACAGGAGCATGTTGTCAGCAGATGGAAGGCCCAGCCAGAGCTGATAGGGCAGCCACCCAGGCAGCCTGGAGAATCCGGAATTAAAGCGGTTCTCTCACTGCTCTCTCAGTGCAGCTCCAGCCCTGTCGCCTCCCCAAGCCCCCATTTCCACCCTCCCACCCCAAACACACACACATCTCAGAGGACTGCACCACACTTGCCCATCTTCACCTATCCTATCACCAGAGCCACAGGGGGCTTTCGCAAGGTAAACCCAATCATATCTGTGCCTGCTCAGCACCCTCCAGCAGCTTCCCAGGATCTGAGAACAAAACCCAATCCCCTTACTTTAGTGGGTAAGGCACGATCCCAGCCCCCACCTTTGAGAGCCTGGCCTCAGAAAGAATCTGCCTTAGGTAGAATTCTGACCCTTCTCCTCATTCATTCATTCAAAATTGTTTAGCAAGCACCTACTGTGGGCCAGGTGCTGTTCTAGACATTTGGGAGACATGGGTGAAGAAATGAAAGAAAGATACCTGCCCTCAAGGAGCCTCCCTTCTAGCAGAGGGAGATTAACGATAATCATAAGTAAATTACATGGCATGCTGGGAGGTGACAAAAGTGACGATAAAAAGAAAGAACAAGAACAACTAGAGCAGAGGAAGTGGATCAGGAGTAGTGGGAGGGGCAGGGGCAGGAGTTGCATTTTAAACATGAGGTCAGGGCAGGCTCCATTAAGAAGGTGCCACTTAAGAAAAGACTGATCCACACCTGTAATCCCAGCACTTTGGGAGGCTGAGGCAGGCAGATCACCTGAAGTCAGGAGTTCGAGACCAGCCTGGCCAACATGGTGGGACCCCCATCTTTTCTAAAAAAATTACAACAATTACCTGGGCATGGTGGTGCGTGCCTGTAGTCCCAGCTACTCAAGAGGCTGAGGCAGGAGAATCACTTGAACCTGAGAGGCAGAGGTTGCAGTGAGCCAAGATTGTGCCACTGCACTCCAGCCTGGGTAACAGAGGAGGACTCCGTCTCAAAAAAGAAAAAAGAAAAGACTGGGAGGAGGTGAGGGAAGGAATCATGTAGATGTCAGGGGAAAGTGCAGGCTGAGGCAGTAGCCAGTGCAAAGGCCCTGAGGCAGGACCATGCCTGGCTTGTTTGAGCAGCAGCAGAAAGGTGGGCGATGACCCAGACAGGGGGACACTTTTCTAGTGAACAAGACAGACAAGATCTCTGTCCTGAGGAGATCATCACTACAGAGTGAGGTGTTTAGAGAACAAAGGTGGTATGGGAAGGGCAGAGACGAGGGAAGTCTAAAAACTGTGGGGTCCCAGAGAGCAGGTAACCCCAAGCTGAGGAGTGGGAAATATGGAATAAAAGCATGGGAGAAAATTACTCCAGAGCGATGGGGGAATGTGTGCAAAGGCCCTGAGAATCCCACCACAAGTCACCACCCCCACTGCTGTCTCCTGGTGCGGTGGCCACCCTCTCCTGCCTGGATGATTATAGAAGCCTCCTCTTGGGTCTCCTACAGAGGGGCAAAGAAGCTGGAGTAGGCAGTGACTAACACCTCTCTTTTCTGGGTAGGAGTTCACCCTGGTGGATGTTAACTCACTGCCTTCCCCTCTCAGCCCGCATCCATGAGCAGAGAGAAGCAGGAAGCCATGGGCATAGGCAGCAGTGTCTGCAGGAGAACTCGGGGGACGCCCTCATGGATTTTGGGTGGGGCACTGCCAGCACCTTCTACAGCCCTGGGTGCTCAATGCCTCCTACTCTCTGTCCTACCCTCTCCCTCTCACTCATTCTATTCAAATACTCTGGCTGTTCCCTCTGCCTGGAAGGCTCTTCCCCTAGATATCCACATGGCTCACTCCCTCATCTCCTCCACACTTCTGTTCAAACACTGTCTCCTCAGAGGCACCCTCTCTGACCATCTTATCTCATATAGCCCCTCCATTATTACCTTGTCCTATGCTAGCTTTTCTCTTCTCCTTTCCCTTCCCTTCCCTTCCCCTCCCTATCTTCCTTCCTTTTCTTTTTCTTTCTCCCTCTTTCTTTTCTTTTTTAGAGAAAGGGTCTCACTCTGTCACCCAGGTTGGGATACAGTGGCATGACTGTAGCTCACTGAAGCCTTGAACTCCTGGGCTCAGGTGATCCTCCCACTTCAGCCTTCTGAGTAGCTGAGACAACAGCCACATGCCACCACATCTGGCTAGTTTTATTTTTATTTTTATTTTTGGTGGAGATGGGGGTCTTGCTATGTTGCCCAGGCTAGTCTCGAACTCCTGAGTTCAAGTGTATCTCCACTTTGGCCTCCCAAAGTGCTGGGATTACAGGTGTGAGCCGCCACATCAGGCCGCTATTTTTATTTTTTGTAGCACTTTTCACCACCTGACATATGATGTATTTACTTGTTTGTATGTCGACTGTTTCTCTCACCAGACTGGGAGATTCCTGAGGGCAGGGACCATGTCCGGTTTTGCTCATCACAGACTCTCTATCACAGGGTCTGGGAAGTTGATAAATATTTGTGAAATAAATGGTTCTGAAACTGAAGTTCTCTCCAAGAGTCTTTCTGGGTCTGATCATTTCAAAATCTTGGAAATGACTCTGATTCCCCTCCCCAACATTTCCAGTGGCCAGGGCTGGCCTCTAAGGGCCAGTCACCGCCAAGAAGCTGCTAATGCGGGCACCTCCCTCAGCCCCTCCACATCCAGGCCCATCTGGTAGAGGTCAAGGGTCAACCTCGTTCAGGCCTCTGTGGGTCCCAAGGTAGAGAAGACCCAGTGCTGGGGTCCAGGCCAAGGGATGCCTGGTGAGCCCCATTTCTCCTTTGGCAAACATCCCCCTTTCCTTCTCAGGGCCTGTGTCTGCATTTCTGAACCAGAAGGTGTTTATACAAAACATCCTGGGTTTGGCGACAAATTCACCCTCAGTGAGGAATCCTTAATGAATCTCCCTTCTTCCCACACCAGGTGGCTGCAGGAAAAATTAGCTCTGCCTCTGGTAGTTGAAGGCAGCCAAAGCCTAGGCAACGCAGAGCTGCTGCTGGGGCTTCTGGGGCCACAATTTCAGCGTCCAGAAATAGCATGGACATGGGGAACCCCTGGCTCGCTGTGTGATGAGGCACTGCCCTTCTGGCCTCAGTCTGCAGCTGTGAAATGGAGCAGTACTAATTCCATCCATCATACAAAGGCTGCTTTGACAAGTAAGGCAAGGGGTGTGAAGGGGCTTGGTTACAAGCGGTTGAAAGGAGAGAATAAAAAGCTGGAATCGGGGAGGCAAGAGATCAGAGTGCTAATATCAGTCCTGCTCTTCAGACTTGTCATCGTCCTTTCCCAGCGCCTTTTACAGCCCTCCTTCCCCTCTGACCTTCTGCCTGCTTCCCCCACCCATTCTGTTCCACACACACTGGATGTTCCCTCTGCCTGGAACACTCTTCTCCTAGACATCCACATGGCTCACTCCTCACCTTCTTTTCAAAGTTCTTGCCTCTCTCTGAGGCTTCTTTTTTCCAGCTATGCAATGAGGAGTTTGGGCGTGAAGACCTCGTGGGAACCCTCTGGTTCTGATGGTAACCATTTTCCATCTGCCTGCCTCCTCTGGGAAGGCCTCCCAATCCTACGACCCAAACCCATTTGCTTTTATGAGCTAGCATTTCATTGCTTACTGCCCATAGTTTTCAAGAGCGCAGTGGTGCCATCATAGCTCACTGCAGCCTCCACTCCCCAGGCTCAGGTGCTCCTCCCACCTCAGCTTCCTGAATAGCTGGGACCAACAGGCATGCCCCACCGAGCCCAGCTAATATATATATATATTTTTTAGTATAAACGGTATTTTACCGTGTTACCCAAGCTGGTCTCTGACTCCTGGGCTCAAGGGAACCCTGCCTTGGCCTTCCAAAGTGCTGGGATTACAGGTGTGAGCCACTGCGCCCAGCCAATTCCTGCTTCCTTCCTATCCTGTGAAGAGACACTGAAGGGGATTTTCATTCACCCTCTTTTTATAAGTTAGAAACTGAAAGTGTCAGAGATGAAACATTAATCACACTGCCACATGGGCCTTCTTGGTGTTTCTTAGACAGGGGAAGAATGATATTTCCCAGGCCATAATCACGACGTGCCATTCTATATAACTGTTTTGCCATTAATTGTCGGTGTTTACCACTAGGATGAAGTTCCATGAGGGCAGAGATTTTGTGGTGTTCACTGCTGCATCCCAAGTCCCTAAAACTGCTTGGCTCATAGTAAGTGCTCAAGAAATATGAACCGAGGGAGGAAGGGGTCAGTGGCTGCCCGCGGACTGAGCTCTCTGAGCCTGCAGAGGGCGCTCCAGCCCCGCCCCCTAAAGCTAGACCCCGCCTCTCACGGCCGCTGACGCACGTGCGTTAGAGCCTGCGCGCCACAGTTCTTTTAAATGCGCAGGCGCTCCGGAAGTCCCGTGAGAGCGGCGCATGCACAGCGGAAGCCGCAGTGGCTACCCAGTGGAGTGAGAGAAGGGTCGCGCGAGAGTCGTAGGTGGAGTTGGTGGGCGCTATGCTGTCACCCGAGGCTGAGCGAGTACTGCGGTACTTGGTAGAGGTGGAGGAGCTCGCTGAAGAGGTGCTGGCGGACAAGCGGCAGGTGAGAGGCCCGTCTGCGGCGCTGGGGCCAGGAGGCTAGCGCCGTCGGAAAGCGCACGGGGTTGCGGGGAGTTGACCCGGACGGGCGGTTAACTGTCCCGAGGCAAGAGATGTGGGCCGATAAATATTCGGCCGCTACTAAGTGAGCGCCTGCGCAGTGCTGGGTATTCCTCTTCCTTCATCCTTTCTCTGCCTCTTACCGTGCTCTCCGGATCTCGACCATCACTCTCTGGGCCGTTTCTCTGAGCACCTCTTTCAAAATGCACTTCCCGGCCCCCTGAGGCCCTTAGGGGAAAGGAGGAGCCGAAAAGAGGCCTGGGGGAGCCTTGTGACCGGCCAGGGATGGGGACGTCGGTTAAGGTGGTGCCCTGTTTATGGGGTGCCTTGTGGGGGGTCAGGCTCTAATGTAAGTGCCAAGTTTTTGAAGGGAGTTCCTGGAGGAAGGAGGGTGACGTAATTGGATTTACGTTTTAAATGGATCCCTCTGGTTGCCGTGTGGAATACACAATATAGGCGCACAAGGGTGGGGGCAGGGAGATGGGTGAAGGGTCATTGCTATGGTCCAGACCAGAGTTGGATTTGGACTAGGTAGTGGTGGTGGAGAGAAGTGAATGGGTCAGAAATGTATTTTGGAGACAGACTCAGTAGGCCGTGATAGTGGCTGTGTAAAGGGGTTAGGGAGCCGGGGGAGTCATGACTCCCTCTCATCTCCAGTTAGAAAGCTCAGGTATTTACTGAGAAGGGGAAAACTTGGGCAAGGGCCTGTCAAATTAAATGCTGGATCCGGGCGTGCTGGATGAGACTAATGAGAGCAGTTAACGATTATCAGCTACTTAGTATGTGCCAGGTACTGTATTAAGTCACTTAATTGCTAGCTCATTAACCTGTGAGGTAGGTACTGTTCGTAGCTCCATTTTGCCAAGGAGTAAATAGGAAGATGACATTACACAGCTTGAAGCAGACAGCAGGATTCGAACCTGGGTATTCCAGCTCCAGAACCAGCACTCTCGTGCAGCATACTGTACTACTGCCTCACTTCCTTAGTAACTATTGTGGTGTTACCACTGTCTCAGTGCCCCCACTTCTGCTGTTCCCATCTAGTATTGTTGGGTTTCTCATAGTACTAGGTCAGAACCAGCTGGAGAAGTTTGTCCAAAAATAGACATCAGGCCTGCTTAATCAGTGTGTAGGGGAAGGGTTTCCACTCCCCTGGTGATTCTCATATGCCCTGAAGTTTGAGGCAATAGTACAGAGTTTCCCATTTAGTCAGCACATGGTTTCCTAGCATCTTCTCTGGGGAGAAGGCAACTGCACAAAGCATTGTCTTTAAGGACCAGGAAGCCAAGTGAGAGAAGAAATACATTCACGCATCAATCCATTTTAGGCAGGACATTGGAAATAACTCAGGAATAATGCATTGTCTCTGCAGCCCTTGTCTGTCAAGAGGGGACAGCTTGGGGCAAGAGATAACAGAGTTCCCTCCTGTCCCCGTGGTTTTCAGATCGTGGACCTGGACACTAAAAGGAATCAGAATCGAGAGGGGCTAAGGGCCCTGCAGAAGGATCTCAACCCCTCTGGTAAGTTGAAATTTTCTCAGTGCAGCCCTGGAGGCCTGTTCTGTTTTCCTTTAAGGCCTTTACCTTGTCTGTGATAGAGATCAGGCAGGAGGCCACAGCTGTGTAACAGCCTTGTGGGAAATTGAAACAGTCTGTGAAGATTGGGGAGCAAATGTTGCAGTTCTGGCACAGACTGTGGTTCAGGATTTCGGCTGCTCAGTGACAGGTCATTGGCTCCTGGCTCTTGGACAATGGCAGACGCTGAGGGTATAAAAAAGTGATGGTTCCTGCCCTTGTGCTTTACAGATGAGGAGAACAATGTAAAATGCATTATTGAAAATTGTATGAAAGCCAAAGATGGAATTGGACTTGGGGTGGGTATTGAGAATATACATCCAGAAGAATCGGATATTTAGATGAGGCCAAGTGGCTACGACAGAGGAAGCAAATGGGGAGGGTAAGTATGGCTGGAGAGAGAGACAGAGGCCAGGCCACAATGAAAGGCCTTAGGGGCTGAGGGGGGAAGTTTACATTTTGTTGAAAGTGCACTGGAATATGCAGAGCCTTCCAGTTGCTTCTCATCTCATCTGAGTAAAATCCAGAGGTTCTACAAGACTTGAGTAATCCAGCCCCCATGAGTCCATGAGGATTCCAGTATCATTTCTACTCTCCCCTTCATTTATGACTTCACCCACATGGGTCTCTTTGGTTTCTTTTAATTTTTATTTATTTATTTTTAATTTTGATGACAGAGTCTTGCTCTCTCACCCAGGCTGGAGTGTAGTGGCATGACCCTGGCTCACTGCAACCTTTGTTTCCCGGGTTCAAGTGATTCTCCTGCCTCAGCCTCCTGAGTAGCTGGGATTACAGGCGTGTGCCACCACACCCAGCTAGTTTTTGTATTTTTAATAGATACAGGGTTTTGCCATGTTGGCCAGGCCAGTCTTGAACGCCTGTCCTCAAGTGATCACCTGCCTTGGCCTCCCAAAGTGCTGGATTACAGGCGTGAGCCACTGTTCCCCCCTTGCTGTTTCGAACACCCTAAGTACACTACTGATCTTTGCTGTTCGTGTTTCCTTTGTTTGGCTCACTCTTTCCCCATATGTCTGCAGGGCTCACATTCTCACTTTCCTTGGGTCTGTGTAGATATCACATAATCTTAGAAAGGCCTTCTGGGACTAGGTGGTATGAGTAACAAGTTCCTCCCCTACTCTGGCATTCCCTAGCCATCTTAGCCTGCTTTAGTTTTCTCTATAGCTCTTAATCAAGGTCGGACAAACCATATTTGTTTATTCTCTCTCCTCCACTATAACAAGCTCCAAGAGGGCAGGAACTTTGTCTTGCTCTGCTGTGTTCTCTGCATCTAAAACAATGCCTGGTACTCAAACAAATTGTTGAAGGAATTACCATTTGCTCTTTCAGAAGATGTGATGGTTTGCTTTGGGAGCATGTTTATCAAGATGCCTCATCCTGAAACAAAGGAAATGATTGAAAAAGGTAAGACCTCCTGGGGGTGGGTCAGGGGTACGCTGCCTCTCACACCAGCTTTGGTCTTAACCCAGAACAGGGAGTCAGGCTTCAGCAGCTTGAGGAGAGGCAGCTCTGTTACAGGGTTCAGACTGCTGTGGGTTTTAATTCCACCTCTGCCACTGTGGGTTATTTCCTCATGTCTAAGAAGGGGATCCATCTGTGTAGCATAGTTGTGAAGTTGAGATAAAACAATGTGTGCCTAGCATAGTGCATGCTTATTAGTGAAGAATCAGTTGGGCTGCAAATAACAAAACCCAGCAAATAGAGGCTCAAGGAAATATGCTTCTTATACTCTTGTGAAAGAAATGGTCCAGAGGTATGTAGTCCAGTCCTGACATAGCTGGCCAGCAGTGGCAGCACCTTAGCATATTCTCCTGGTTGTTGTTTCATTGTTGCAAGCCTCATGTACACGTGCCAGGCTGGAGGAAAGACAGAAGGCTTTCACTACATATAGCTTTGCCTTCTATTTTGGAAGTAAGGCCATCTCCTCAGGGACTTCTGCCAACATTCATTGGATAGAACTAGGTCACATAGCACCCATAGCTGCAAGGGAGCCTGGGAGAGTGAGCTTTTCTTTTTCACGTGCCCTGCAATCGAGACTGGGTTGAAAATGGAACCTCTAGGGTCTCCCATAGCCTGGGCACATAGTGTACGCAGTTTCCACAACATAATCTGGAAGCTCTTTGGAAAAGCATCTTAAAAGCAAGAGTCAGGCTACAAATGGATTCTTGGCTAGAAAAAGAACAGGCTACACATATTTTTTCTTCTATAACCTTGAAAATGGCCAAAAAGACAAGCAAGATTGCCTCAGTCCCACAAGACAGGGTGTCTTCATACCTCATGAAATAAAACTTTTTTTCCCCCTTGAGATGGAGTCTTGCTCTGTTGCCCAGGCTGGAGTGCCATGGCACTTTGTTGGCTCACTGCAACCTCCACCTCCCAGGCTCAAGCAAATTCTCTTGCCTCATCCTCCTGATTAGCTAGAATTACAGGCACATACCACCGTACCTGGCTAATTTTTGTTTTTTCAGTAAAGATGGAATTTCACTATGTTGGCCAGGCTGGTCTCTAATCAGGTGATCCACCCACTTTGGCCTCCCAAACTGCTGGGATTACATGCCTGCTCCCAGCTAATGACATAAAACTGCTAACAGAGGAAGCTGGAGAAGTTTCCAGCTGTTGTGTTGAAAAAATACACTAATATTATAGTTATAAAATTAAACTGCCCTTGGTGGTGAGCTGGAGAGTAGCTTTGAGAGGGGTCCCTTGCCAGGGTTCAGGATCTTGTTGACTCTTTTGGTCCCCAAATGTGATCTTTTCACTGTACCTAGAGGGGTTCCAGGACATCATCAGGTTTCTTGGGGATCAACATAGGCTAAACAAGGACACTAGGGTTACTCATCCACAAAGAGAAACAGAACCAGGTTATAAGGCTTGGCCATTCAGCATTTCTTCCCCCAGAAAGAGTGAGTCTGTGAGGAAGACAGACTAGCGAGAGTGTTACTGGTGAGCAGGTGGAATTGGCTGGGTGACTTCAGTCGATTGGTCAGTCAAGCTTTGATAGCCGCCTCTGTCATCGCACTGACTCTTCTCAGGGCAGTCCATGGCACTAGGAGATGCTTTTCTCTTCACAGTGGATAATTAAGCTTGAGCATTAGGCTTGCATGTCGATTGTTTAGGTCACATGTTTACACAATCATGTTTTTCTAAAACCCCCTCACCTTGATGGACTTGGGTTAGTAAAATTCCTTAGGTATCCATTTTCCAGCCATCTAAGGTGGGCTGGATCTAGAGGTGCTTTATTTTGTTTATGCATTTGAATTGTACATAACGTCATTGTTGGAGGGTGGCCAAAGTCTTCATGTTGCCTTCTCCATCTACTGACCACCCCAAGGTACTTTGCCTAATGCAAAACAGGGCAGTGTGAGAGTCAGGACTGCTGTGTCCTGAGCAGGTCACGGCCCTTCTAACCTTTATCCTTCCTCAGTTGGTCTCTGATACCCCTTTTCCTTCCTGAAAGCTACACTCTACTGGGGAGAGGCTGGCAGCTCTACTCCTGGGTCCAATCTGTCTGGTACAGTCTTATTCTCTGCTTCCCTCCTTCTTTTTTTCAGATCAAGATCAACTGGATAAAGAAATAGAAAAACTCCGGAAACAACTTAAAGTGAAGGTCAACCGCCTTTTTGAAGCCCAAGGTATTGGCGTAGCAGGGACTGGAGACTAGGAGGGGAGAGAATCATCAGCATGGACTTTGAAGGGCAGGGATGGGAAGCCCGACCCTCAGAGGTGGGCATTGGCCAAGGCAGCCTGTGAGTGGCCCTGGAGGTGTGCACAGTGGTTGGTTATAGCTGTCAGGGGACAGAATGGATGGGCGATTTAAAGAGAGTCCTGCTCCTGTCACAGCTTCCTTTCCAGGTCCCAGGAACCGGTTGGGGTGATCTCACATTATATATCACGGCATGGCATGGGGATCAGATAGCTCTGACTGAGGAAATTCAGAAGGCCCAATGAGGTGATTGAGGGCAGAGCTGAAATTCCTGATAAACCCAGGCACTCTAGATTTGTCACAGGTCTTGGAAAAACCTGGATGTCTTTGGGTAGCAGAGTCATGACTTTGCAGGCTCTTGGTGACACAGGAGCGGTGGTGATGCCTCATCCGGTACATTGCAGAATTGGAGGCCCATCCCTGCCAGACCTCCAGGCCGAGTTTGGCAGTGTTACTGCAGTGTCAGCCCCTTTCCTGGGCCTGGCTCCAGAGCCAGCAGGAGGCCTGACATGCTGATGGATCATCTTCTCTCCTAGGCAAACCAGAGCTGAAGGGTTTTAATTTGAACCCCCTCAACCAAGATGAGCTTAAAGCTCTCAAGGTCATCTTGAAAGGATGAGACTCAAGAACCAAGATGGGGGACCAGTGACCAGCAACCCCCACAGGGTCATGGAGGACCCAAGACCCTCCAACCTTGACACCTGTAAGGACAGTATCTGCCCTGTAAGGGGACAGGCATCAGGACTCTGGCCATGAAAACCTCTTTGTCTGTAGTGCTTGGCTGCTCTGTGACGGCAGGAGGGAACCCTCAGCCTGTCTGGCTGCTGGACCTGGACACCAGGGCACAGTGCACACAAGACCTATTGATGGGCCCTGGCAGCCATGAGTGGGTGTGTGGAGCCGTGGCTGTGGGGGTGTGTGAATGACTGCAGCAGGCACTTCTCAACAATAGCCTGCTGTTCACAAGGACCCTGAGCAGGGAGGGAGTGAGGGAGGGAGCAGAGTGGAGCTTCATTCCAGCATTCCTCTCAGAAGGGAGGGAGGTTTTCAGGCAGATGCCATGAGGTGGGAATAAAGCAGGAGGCTCATGCGTGGATGCTGAATGAAGAACAGAATCTTGGTGCTTTCTGGTTCAGCACCGTACCTGTGTGTGTGCCCCACAGATGGCTGCCAGCTCCATTTCTGCCCTTTTTCCCTGCTTGATTCCAAGAGTAGGTGCTGCCTAGCAGCCCTTTGTGGCCACTCTTTCGTCAGGACACCCTGCAGAGTCCTGCACCAGGCCTGCATGAGTGGGTGCTCCTCCTACCTTGTGACACTTGTCAAGAGTGCCCCTGCACCCCCTCTGAAAGTGGGGGCTGGCTAGTGCTGCTTAGTACTGTCTACCTTTAGTGGTATGAATCGCATGAAGTCAAAACTCGTGTGTGTTCATTAAGGGCTCAATAAAGGTTAGCTGAATGAATAAATAGCAACTAGTCTACTCGCCTCATCTAGTCCTTCAGTAAGGGCATGCTGCTCCATTTAGAATACCACCTATGAATGTGGTTCTTACCTTCAAATGAACCTGTGGTTTGACAGGCAGGTGAAAACAAATGGCAGCATGGCAGGGGCACACCTCTCCTGGTCCCCTCACTCCTTTGCTCGGGCTCATAGTTACATAGAAACACAGGCTGTCGTGGCCATTTCTTACATTTTTTTTCAAAAGAAGCTAGACATTCAGGTTGTGAAGTTGATTAGAAATTACTGTGTGTTTTCCCTGCAATCTCTTTTAAGAAGTAGGTGGGTGGAATTGGAAACCAACTATGTCCATCCACGGGGGACTAGTTAAAGGAATCGGTAGCTCCAGGTAGGGGAGTACCATACAACTACAATCAAGAATAAGGAACAAGCTGCAAGACACATCAAGTGAGAAAAGCAAGGGGAAGGTAGGTGTCTTATAAGCTAATAATGTGTGTGCAAATGCAATGTGATTCCCTCAGAACAGCATCTGCAGGGTTGGGGCACAGAGGTGGGAGGGGAGATTTCATCCTAAACCCTTTTGTAAATTTTGCGTTTTAAACCATATGAATATAATGCTTATTTTAAAATGTAAACAAAGTAGGGAGTTTCAGAATTCACCTTGCTAGATGTTCTCCAGTGTAACTGCCTGGTTCACAATTTCACCATTGGAAAATTGCCCCTTCCTGCCTGGCAGGGTGGGTGCTGGGCCAAAGAGAGCGAATTGCATTGCTTCTCCTGGAAGTAGGGAACCTGGAGCCCATGCATGGACCTGACTGGGTTTGCGTCAGTCACAAGGATGGACGGGAGAAATCCTCATGCTCTGAAGGCAGGAGGTCCAGAGTAGCCTGGCTTCTGGCCTTCCTAAAGTCGGCTGGTTCACTTCTTGGATTTGCCAGTATTTTCTTTCCAAAAACCTTCCCTTTTGGCTTACCCTAGGCAGTTGCATTCCACCATTTGCAGCCAGAGAACTACTCTGAAGCAGGGTGAGTGGTAGAGGGAGTGAGTGAATCCCCCGGAGCAGTTCATCAGCCCCAACGTTGCAACCCCTCATAAGCCAAGAGGAGGCTTAGGAATGTAGGATGTGAACATGCAGAGGTTTTTACTCACACTCAACTCCCCAGGCTGTATTGCCCATGAGCCCAATGTTTTCTGGTTTCTGGCTCAGCTCCCAATCTCAAACAAGGTGTAGAGAAGTACTTAAGTCACCCCTCTGACTTAGATAAATGCACCTTTGCAGAGACTCTCACTAAGCTCTGCCTTGGTCTGTCTTGTCCGAGAAATGGGGATGTTCTGGCCCACTGTTTTTCAGATGATGGTCAGGGAGCCCCATGGGTTCCGCTGACATGCAAGGTCAGGGTAGGAGAGGATGTGTTTAGGGCTCAGTACTTCCCTAGATCCCCAATAAGTACATCATCTACTGCTCGCTTTGCAAGCACAGCTTAAAGACAAGTTCCTTAACCTCCAAACTAGCTCCTAAACGACCTTTTCAACATTGACTTGAGAGGCATCCAATTGTCAAAGCCAGGAGGACTTGGCTCCAGCCAACAGTATCCCCTGAGCCAGGCCTGGGGCCCAGTGACTTCAAGTAGGGCTTGTGCTTATTTATTAGATATGACCTCTCATGGGTAGCAGAACTTGCTGTATTTGTTCTCTTTGGGCCCAGTTGCCAAGTCAGTCTGTCAAGGTTAAAACCCCTCCAGTCCCAGGGATTGGCTGTCTCCTGGTGCAAAGATGCCTGGGGACGGGCTGGAGGTATCCAAGGGGCCTAATTCAAGTAGGAAGCTGCAGTTGCTAAGCCAGCAAAGCTGGTGCCAGGCTGGAGGTGGGGAGGCGAGTGCTGTGAGGTGCTGGGATCTGGGAATCAGGGAGGCCTGGGTGGTACCTGCCAAGGCTGATTTCCTTCTGGCAGCTGGGGATCAACTGGAAGCTTTCTTCTGGACTTGAAGGGAGCAGAAGAGCTGCCTCAGCTGTTTTTTCCGATCGTTGACGCAGCCTGGAAAGGAAGTGGGGTGTTGGCTGGAATGACCTGTGCTTGGGAGAAGTTGAGTGCACTCCCTGCTGGCAAGAGGGGACAGCAGGCGTCGGGCAATCACACACAGCCTGTGGTTTATACTCTGGCTCCATTCCTGAACTGCCATGGCCCTCAAGCAGATCATTTACCCTTTTCAGCATGAGTCTTCTCATCTGTAAACCAGGATACTACTGCCCACCTTATGGAGTGAACATGAGGACTGGGGGCTTACCTCAAGCCGGAGACTGCTCCAGATGCTGAATGTGGATGGATTTGTTTAGCCCTCATGGGAATGACGTGTAGAAGAGAAAATGGGCTCAGAGAGGTTAAATCATTTGAGCCCAGGCTACCTGGTGCCAGAGCCACACTCTTAACCACTACCCCACACTGTCACTCCTGGCTTTGCTCAGTGAAAATGCATTTAAAGCTAGCACCATGCCTAGTACCTCATAGCTGCCCAGTACAGCCTCATGGAAGTATGTCCCAGGCAGTCCGTACTGAAGCTGCTGTGAGCTGCTGAGACGTTAATTTCAGGACATTCATGGTGCTACATGTTGGATGTTTGCTCTCAGAGCTGATCCTTGAGGTGACTCTGTGGTCATTTAATCTCATGCCAGGCACATTGATGGCACTCAGAAATGCTTGAATGACTGAAATCTCTGTGGCCACTAGTACTGACCTGGGGCTATCTGCCATGTTTCACATCCCCCCAAAACTTGTCCCTGCTTCCCAGGCACGCACTCACTCAGCCATTCACCGAACTGAGACCTTACTATGCACATCCCTCAGGATTTTCCAGTGAGTTCCATGCAGCCCAAACTTAAACTGTATTTCGCTCATTCATAACTCCCAATTCTCGTCCAGTGCAAACTTCTTGGAGTTCTAGACTCATCTCTTGAGTTATCTGCTGACCCTTTCACCTGGATGTCCCTAACTCAGTTCATCAGTACTCTTCCTAGCCAGCTACCCTTGTGTTTATCACCATGAACCCAAACACTTGAAACAAATAGTTCTAGAGACCTCTAAAAGCACTGGCTGTCCTAGCCTGGTCAACATAGCGAGACTTTGTCTCTATGGGAAAAAACACCCACTCACAAATAAAATTAGCCAGGTGTGGTGTGTGCCTGTAGACCTAGCTACTTGGGAGGCTGAGGCAGGAAGATTGCTCGAGCCTGGGAGTTTGGAGTTAGTTGCAGTGAGCTATGATCGCACACTGCACTCCATCCTGGGTGACACAGCAAGACGCTGTCTCTAAAAAATAATAATAAAACAGTGGCTCTCAACTTGGGCTGCATATTGGAATCACCTGGGAGCTTTAAAAGCTACTGATGCCCCCACACCAACCATCTCTTTATCTGGCAGGCATCAGTGGTCTTTAAAGCTCCGAGGTGATTCCAATATTCGGCCAAGGTAGAGAACCGCCGCTCTCCATCTTTGCTACTCGAATGGGGGTCCAGGAAATAATGTGCATTGATATCTGAGGTGCACTGTTAGCAAAGATGGCTGCAACAATTCCATTCCTATATGCACACCTCTGTGCAACGTGACTTGGCTAATCCTCTCAACAGGTGGAGTCTATTTTCTTACCTAGTGACTGGGCTAGACCAGAAAATTGCTTTGACTCTAGCAGAATGACTTATGGGACTTCTGAGTCTGGGAAGCAAAAGGCTTTGCAGTGTCTTTTCTCAGCTTAGAACCCCGAGTCTACCACGTGAAGAAGCCAGGGCTAGACTGCTGGAAGATGACTGGCCATGTGGAAAGAGAGGCCCAACTGACAGCCAGTATCAACTCCCCACACCTATGAATGAGGCTGTGGTAGGCCATCAAGTCTCAGTAAATCTGCCAGGTGCCTGCAGCCCTATGAGTGACCCCAGTAGAGACCTGAAGAAACACGAGCAAATAAGTAGTAGTTTTAAGCTGCTAGGTTTGGGGAGGGCTTATTACACAGCAATGGTTAATCAATAGAGCGTCACGCAGGAACTTGTTGGAAATACCATCATAGGCCCCACCCTAGAACTAGAGTCACAATCTGTAGTTTAACAAGGTTTCCAAGTGATTGTATGCCCATTAAGAGTGTTGTTTAGTCATCCAGAGCCTTACACATTTAGAAAACTCAACAGCCCATAGAAAAATGGAAAAATGGTATGGACAGCTTACAAAAGAAGAAATGCAAATACAAAAAAAATGAAACCTCACCAGTAATCAATGGAATGCACATAAAACAACAATGAGTCAGTATGTTTTGCCTCACCAGTTGGCACAGATTTTTCTGAAAATTCACATCTGGCAAATTAATATACTCTTTCTGGAAAGCAGTTCGGTTGTAATAAGCCCATCCCTTTGGCCCAATAATTGTACTTCTAGGAATCTGTCCTCAGGAAATGGCCAGAATCTCAGCCAAGCTTACTGTGAAAGGGTGTTCATCATGGTATTAGTTATAAAGGTAGCACATGCAGTTGTGCTGAATGTCCAGTCATAAGAAATTGCTTTAGTACATTTTGGAATATGCACAAACTGAAAGATTTTGCAGCCATATGGTAATTTTTTTTTTTTTTAACTCTGCCAAGAGGCAGGAGAGTCTAGCAGTCAAGCACTCAGGTTTTGGAGCCAGGCAGATGGGACTTTGCAGCACGGCTCACCGCTTATGACCAAGACCTTCATTCAGCAAGTTACACAGCACCTGGAGATCATTTCCTCATCTGTAAAATGACAATGCAAGCTGCTGAAAGATAACATGAGATAATGTACGTAAAAGATTTCATATGGACTGGACCAAAAAGTGCATTCAAGAGGGAGGCTCTTATTAATATGCTTGAATGAAAAATGCCACGTGGGAAAGTGGGACTTGAAACTCTAGCCCAATGCCAATTTTATAAAAGAAAAAGTATGAATATATGTATTTTTTAAGAACTGGAAGGAAATACACCAGATTGTTAAAGATGGTTATGTCTGGATGTTTTTTTAATTTCTTTCTTTAGTTTTCAAATATTCTACAATGAGTGAGAATACTTTTTTTTATAATCAGGAAGAGTTTTCACTTTTTAGAAACCAACTTTACAAATGAGGAACAGCTGTGTCACCCGTGCCCAAGGTGACACAACTGGTAAGTTGCAGATTGAATTCAAACAATCTAACCACTATGCCAAGCTGCCTCCAGACTACCTGGTACCTCCCATGACCCATCCCTTGTGCCCAATCCCCACCTGACCCTACATACCGAGGTGTGTGTTGGTCACAAAGTTTCCCATTCCCGACAGGTCAGGAGGCCCGTCCTCTCTGCTAACCGGGCCATCATTCCACATGAGGTCAAAGCCCCCGACTCGCTTCTCCCTTCCCGTGAGCCTGGACAGGAAGGAGGCACATGGGGTTAATGAAGGTCCACCTGGCAGGGGCCCTAAGACCCAAGTGGGGTCCCTGATCCCTCCCTGAGCCCTACTGATGTCCCTCCCATCAGAAGTCCTTTTTCTCAATCATTCATTGGCTGTTTCCCAGGTGCCTATGTAAATCTCTGAGGGGCTGTTCCCATTTTTCCCCCCAAGGCTCCTCCTACTTGCTCTTGGTAACTTGTCCCTGTTTATTTTTTTGTTTTCTGACAGAGTTTCTCTCTGTCACCCAGGCTGGAGTACAATGGCATGATCTCTGCTCCCTGCAACTTCTGCCTCCCAGGTTCAAGCGATTCTCCTGTCTCAGCCTCCCAAGTAGCTGGGACTACAGGTGTACACCACCACACCCAGCTAATTTTGTATTTTTTTTTCCTCTGGTGAATTCTGCTTCACAATGATAATTTTGTATTTTTAATAGAGACAGGGTTTCACCATGTTGGCCAGGATGGGCTCAAACTCCTGACCTCAAGTGATCTGCCTGCCTTGGCCTCCCAAAGTGCTAGGATTACAGGCATGAGCCACTGTGTCTGGCCATGTGCCTCTATTTGTGATTTCAGGTTTAAAGTCTCCTTTCCTCCTCAGATCTTAAACTCCATAAAGGCAGGGACTGGTTCTGTCGTGTTCCTTACTATGTCAGCAGGGTGTGGCACAGGGCCTGGTACAGAGCAGGGCTCAAATGTTTGTTGAATGAATGGGTGATGGTAGGAATAGTGGATACCTGAGGTTGCTGCTTGCTCAGCATCCATTTCACCTTTTTCCAGTCCAAGGGTACCTTGGGTTTTGCTTTGAGAATCATTCCTCCCTCCTTTACCAATGGCTCATGTGGGGTTGACCCCACTCCCTGGGAGGTGGGCACAAGAACTATGCCTGGTCAAGCAGAGTAACAATGAATGATTCAGCAATGGGCATGTATCCCAGTTCCCAGCAAGGAGAAGCTGCCCTCAAACTTCTGCTGGAATAATTGGAGAAAACTGGGGAAAAGCTAATGCAGAGGAAAGAGGAAGAAGGGAGGCAGAGAGAGAGAGAGAGGAGAGGAGGGAGAAAGGAGAAAATAGACCAGCCACCACTGAGCACCCGGATTCACCCATTCTCAAAGTAGCTCTGGGCTTTTTTTCTGCTGTTGCACATTGTTATAATGATAGCCTTGTATTGAGCACTTACTGTGAGCTAGGCACTAGATAGTAAATTACCTTGTAAATTAACAACTCTGAGAGGTAGACATGGTATTTCCTGTTTTACAGATGAGGAAGCTGAGGCTCAGAAAGATGATGTGACTAGTCCAGAGCCTCACAGTCAGGAGGATTCGAGGAAATCCTGCTGGACTGTTTCAGAAAGCTATAGTTGGCCCTGCTCTGCCCTGGAGAGGCCAAGTCCATGGCAGGACCTGGCCCTCCATGGATATCTCAGCTTTTCCATCTATAAAGTGATGAGGCAGGCCAGAGCCATCACTGAAGGCCAGTCAGCCTCCAACGTTCTAAGCTCCCCCTCTTCCTTGGTGGGAGCCCTAGTTGTCATGTACAAGGACATGTGATCAAGGCTACCCTCCCTCACCTCGCTTCCATGTCCACGACATGCAGGGTGTCTTCCAGGAGACAGGTCTTGAGCTCATAGTCTTCCTGGCTGCTGGCTGTCAGTGATGGGGATGCATTGACCTCTAGGAGCCACCTGGGGAGGGAAGGGAGTGGACAGCCTTAGGGTTACTTGGTCCCTGGAGCTCCTAGGATTTCACTAAGTGGCTAGATGGATGCATGGACCCCACCCTCAGTTCAGTCCAGACTGCTCCCTCTACCTTTCTATTTTTCAAATTATTTTTATAGAGATAGGGTCTTGCTAGGTTTCCCAGCTAGTCAAACTCCTGGCCTCAAGTGATCCTCCTGCTTCAGCCTCCCAAAGTGCTGGGATTACAGATGGGAGCCACTGTGCTGGCCCCCTCCCCGAACACCCTTTCCACTTTTTTTTTTTTTTTTAGATGGAGTTTTGCTCTTATCGCCCAGGCTGGAGTGCAATGGCACAATCTTGGCTCACTGCAACCTCCACCTCTGAGGTTCAAGCAATTCTCCTGCCTCAGCCTCCTGATTAGCTGGGATTACAAGTGCCTGCCACCACGCCCAGCTAATTTTTTTGTATTTTTAGTAGACACAGGGTTTCACCATATCGGCCAGGCTGGTCTCAAACGCCTGACCTCAGGTGATCTGCTCACCTTGGCCTCCCAAAGTTCTGGGATTACAAGCAAGAGTCACCGTGCTGGCCACCTTTCCACTTTGAGGAAAGGTAACTCAAAAGTAGAAAGCTGGTCTGGGAACTACGGTGCCTTCGTGGGGCGATGGTCTTCCCTTCTTCTGATACAGACGTGAGTGCAAGGAAAACCTTCCTCTCGTGGTGAAAGTTTGCGCACTGTAGGTGGCAAGCACCCTGCTGTCAGGGGCTGGGGAGCATGGGGAGGGGTGGGGACTGTGTGGAGCTGGCCGGGGCACTCTATGTCTAAAGCGGTGGCCGTGGCCAGCTCCAGGAGAGTGTTGTCCTGTGGGAATGTGAATTGTGAGATCATCTGATTGTTCCAGAAAAGCCAAAAACAGTGATTTTTTTTTTTTTTTAAGGAGTCAGTATCTGGCTCGGTCACTCAGGCTAGAGAGCAGTGGTGTAATCTAAGCCCTCTGCAGCCTTGAACTCCTGGCCTCAAGTTATCCTCCTGCCTCAGCCTCCTGAGTAGTTGGCATTATTACAGGGGCTTGAGCCACTGTACTAGGTAACTCTGATTTTTATATAAACACCTTCCAAATTTTAGAGCCTGTCAATAAATTAAAAACAAAAACAGTCTAAAGGCCAAATTCAAAGTATCTGCAGGCCAAAGCAGCCCAAAGACCTCCAGCTAGCCACCTCTTGTGTCGTTCAACCCCATCCTTCTACAGACAGGAAGCTGGGGCCAAGAGAGGGAAGGGCTCAGCCCGTAGGCCAGTGGGAGACCAAGCCCCTTTCCACTATACTGCAAATTATCTTGGTAAATTACTCTAACAACTTGGAGAGGTAGACATGGTATTTCCCATTTTACAAATGAAAAAACCAAGGCTCAGAGAGGTGACATAGCCACCTGGGGTCCTGCACAGCCAGTCCTCTTGGACATGTAGAATTTTTGCCCACACGGAGGAGTACACCCAGAGTCATCCTAATCACAGCACTCAGGACTGGCCCCCTCTTGTTCAGGCCTAAGGACAGCGCTGAGGGCAATTGTGTAGGGGTCTCAGCAGGCCAGGTTGAGATTAACTGAGGTCCCTCCCACAACTTGACTACCCAGGCCCCAGGGCAAGTGGATGCTCCAGCTCTTCCCACAGTCGCTGGTGTCCAAGCATGGGCAGAGCTTATTCCCCACCAGGTCCACCTTAATGCCAGTAGTCACATCCTGCTGCAGGGGCAAAGGAGAGAGACCCGCTGGTGCCCGGACCCTGTTTCCCTTGAGTGAGGGCCTGACTTAGGTCTTGCTCTAGAGCCCCTCCTCCTGGCTTAAAAGGCCCCTCAACACTCACATGGTGACCCTGAATAGGGGGTTGGGTCCTGGAGCCGGCAGTGCTGGTGGGGAGCCGCTCAGCCCAGGTCCTTGGACCCTGGGCCTGGCTTTGCCCTTGACTTGCTACATGACCTCAAGCTCCCTGACACTTGCTGGGCTTCTGTGTCCTGTTGCATCATGTGAGGCCATCATGGTGGTCCCTGCCAGGTCAGGCTTGTTCTCCTCCAATGGGCACCATGGAAATGGATCAAAGTCTTGGCAGAAATCAACACTGTAACAATGTTCCATTATTCTTCAAAGCTCCAAGACTTACAGAGGGAAGTTTCTTGCCTGATAGAGGGGAGGATTCCTGACTCAGCAGATGATCAGGAAAGGCCTCCCGGTGCCAGGCTCGGTGCCCAGTGCTCTACAGACTGTCTCTCACTTATTCCTCATAATGATCCTATAATGACCTATGGATAGATCCTGTAATGACCCACCCCATTTTGCCATTGGGAAAACTGAGGCACAGAAAAAGTAAGTGTGCACAAGGTTATACAACTAGGCATTGGCAGAGCTGGGATTCAAGCCCGGGCAGTCTGGGTACAGAGTATGCAAACTATGACCTGCTGGCTCTCCCCCTGACCCACTTACGGCTTGAGGTCCTGGTCAATGAGGATGTCGTAGCCGTACAGCTCGAAGCAGTGCTTGTCACTGATGATCACCTTCTGCACACTCTGCAAGCTTTTGATGAAGATGTTGTCCATGTCCCTGAAGAGCGTCTCCACCGCCTGGGGCCCATGTTTGGAAGCCAGGTACTGCCGGAAGCGCTGCAGCATCCACTTGCTGCCCTGTGTCCCGGGCAGCCAGGTCAAGAGAGGAGCCTCAGTTAGCCAGGACCTAGCCTGCTTGGACCCTTACATAATTGCCCTCAGTGCTTTACTTAGACCTGGGCAAGAGGGGCCCAGCCCTGAGCCCTGTAATTAGGATGACCCCAGGTGTGCCGTTCTTTGAGAGGCAAAAATTCTTCATGTCTAAAAGGGCTAGCTATGCAGGACCCCAGAAGTCCCTGCCCACATGACGTGCGGAGGCCCCTTCCCTGAGCCTGACCTGCTGAGGACAGATCACACTGACTATGTGTGCATCCCAAGGCCATGGAGTGACCAACAGGCTTCTGTTTTCAGGGGTATGTATGCGCAAGGGCCTCACCATGTGGGATACAGCCAGGGAAGGGAAGAGAAGGGAACAGTTGTGTACTGGGGACCTGCTCTCCTGTGTCCCCTTGATCTGGCCCTTGACTGTGAGAAGTCTGAGAATTCTGTATTTGAACCTAGCCTTGCAGGTTATTTTACATAGAGAGAGAGAGAAAAAATATATTGGTGTGATACATTACATGAATCAATCCACTGACCAACAGAAGATATCTGTCAAGGTAGGACAGGACATATTTTGTTTAGGGGTGTGTTAGTGTGATCTGTAACTTTTAAATACTTAGATACATGATATGTGGGTCACCATTTGCAGTCCTGCCCTGAGCCCTGCAAGTGGGACAGGCAGGCCTGCCTCACTGGCCAACTCAGGCTCAGACAGGCCTGTCCTGGGCTCCTTGCCATGCCACCCTCCCCACTCCCACCTGGCCCCAGAGGGCTGCACCCCAACAGAGCGGAGCCTGGCTTCCTCACCTTCTTTGGGTGGTAGTCAGGAGATGTTTTTTGCACAGCAACGTTGGTGAGATGAACATCTGGCAGAGGGTGGTGGTCAAGGTCATAGCTGACCTCAGTGTGAACAAAAAGGGTGAGCCCTGCCCCACAAAGCCCTCAGGACTGAACCGATGAGACCTTGCCTGGGAATCAATGGGGAAAGCGGCAAAACAGCATCACAGTCATGTGTGTGGGCTGTGGAGTCAGATGGGCCTGGGTTCAAATCCTGCCTGCATCTTTCCTGGCTATGGGGTCCTAAAAAGCCATTTAACTTCCCTGGGCCTGTTTCCCCAGCTTTTAATGGGGGTACATGGTAGCATATTGAACTCCAGGATTTTTCAAAAGGTTAAATACTGTACCTCTTCCAGCGCCTGGCATAGCTGATGTTATACTATGATTTTTCTTTTAACCTTTGTGTTATGATTTTTTTTTTTAAGAGACAGAGTCTCGCTCTGTCACTCAGGCTGGAGTTCAGTGGCATGACGTGCTCACTGCAGCCTCCACCTCCTGGGTTTAAGTGATTCTCCTGCCTCAGCCTCCCGAGTTGCTGGGATTACAGGCGCATGCCATTACACCCATCTAATTTTTGTATTTTTAGTAGAGACAGAGTTTCACTATGTTGGACAGGCTGGTTTCAAACTCCTGGCCTCAAGTGATCCACCTACCTCGGCCTCTCAAAGTGCTGGGATTACAGGTGTGAGCCACTGCGCCCAGCCTGATTTTTTTTTTTTTTTTTTTTTTTTTAATTCAAGAGGAGAGAAAACTTTCTAACAAGTAAAGGAACCAAATACAGAACAACCATCTCAGGACACACTAGGCTGTCTTTCACTAGAGGGGTCCAGGCTTGGCAGCCACTTTGTATTGGCGAAGGGATCCAGCACTGGGGTGGGGTCAGGGCGGCCTTGGAAGGCCCAGTCCTGAAATTCAGCCTCTCAATACTGTCACCATCCTCACCACCACTGACATCGGCAACGCTTTTCAGCTTACAGAGCATGTTTACCGCATTATCTCATATGTTCCCCAAATTATTCCTGTCTCACAGATGAGACCTTGGAGGCTTAGAGAGGTGAAGTGACTGCCATTCGGAATATCCCTTCCTCAACATCTTCCCCCACAGCTAAGCAGGATGGCTTCCCCTAACCTCATCGTGTGTCTGTCTGTCTGTCTGTTTCTTTCTTTTGAGATGTAGTCTGGTCTGTTGCCCAGGCTGGAGTGCAGTGGTGCAATCTCAGCTCACTGCAACCTCTGCGTCAAGAATTGCTCAAGCAATTCTCCTGCCTCGGCCTCCCAAGTAGCTGGGATTACAGGTGCCCACCACCAAGCCCGGCTTATTTTTGTATTTTTAGTAGAGACAGAGTTTCGCCATGTTGGCAAAGCTGGTCTCGAACTCCTGACTTCAAGTGATCACCGGCCTTGGCCTCCCAGAGTGCTGGGATGACAGGTGTCAGCCACCACACCCAACCCCAAACCTCATGAAATGTCCGTAAGACATGACTTTCTCCAGGACTTAGTTGGGGCATTTCTCAGATGGGGAGGTAGAGGCTCTAGATCCCTGACTCCCAGTCTAATTCCCCTAAAAATTATGTTTCTCCCAGTCTGTGGTGTGTTGAACAGAGCAGGGCGATTTCAGCCTCCTGAAATACCTGGGGAAGGTGAGTATCCTCTTTAGCATCTTTTTCCTAGAAGTCTTCTTTAGAGCTTTTTTTTCTTCCCTCCCTCCCTTCCTCCCTTCCTCCCTCCCTCCCTCCCTCCCTCCCTCCCTCCCTCCCTCCCTTCCTTCCTTCCTTCCTTCCCTCCCTCCCTCCTTCCCTTCTTCCTTCCTTCCTTGACAGAGTCTCACTCTGTGACCCAGGATGGAGTACACTGGTGCAATCTCGGCTCACTGCAACCTCTGCTTCCCAGGTTCAAGCAATTCTCCTGCCTCAGCCTCCTGAGTAGCTGGGATTACACGAGTGTGCCACCACGTCAGCTTTTTTTTGAAGAAATATGAAAGGCCAGGTGCCCTGGCTCATGACTGTAATCCCAGCACTTTGGGAGGCCAAGGCAGGTGGATTACCCGAGGTCAAGGGTTCAAGACCAGCCCGGCCAACATGATGAAACCCCATCTCTACTAAAAATGCCAAAAAAAAAAAAGGTCTGGTGGCGGACACCTATAATCCCAGCTACTCGGGAGGCTGAGGCAGGAGAATCGTTTGAACCCAGGAGGTGCAGGTTGAAGTGAGCCAAGATGGTGCCACTGCACTCCAGCCTGGGCAACAAAAGTGAAACTTTGTTTCAAAAAAAAAAATAGAAAAGAAAAATGAAATATGAAGTAAGGATCCATGCAACAACATAGAAGAACCTTAGAAACAAGATAAGTAAAAGAAGGCAGGTGCAAAGCCTGCATAGCGTATGATTCCATTTCTGTGACATGTTGAGAATAGGCAAATCCACAGAGACAGGAAGTGGCTGCAAAGGGCTGGGAGGGGAGTCCAGGGAGGAATAGGGATGACAGCTAATGGGTATGGAATTTCTTTAGGGAGATGAAAAAATGTTTTAAAATAGCTGAGCACGGTGGTTTACACATGTAGTACCCACTACTCAGGAGGCTGAAGTAAGAGGAACATTCAAGCCCATGAGTTCAAGACCAGCCTGAACAATATAGTGAGACCCTGTCTCAAAAATAGGAAAGTTTCGGCTGGTCGCGGTGGCTCATGTCTGTAATCCCAGCATTTTGGGAGACCAAGGTGTGTGGATCATGAATCAGTGACCACAGAAAAGATGTGTAGCACATGTGATAGTCTAATGTTTCTATCACATGAAAATCCCACATGAATTAGCAATAGAAAGTATGACTGCTTATTTTCTAAGGAAAGGACATGGACAAACCTAAAAGAGAAAATAAAGCTGGTAGGACCCCAACTGGGGAAATGCTTAAAGTTCCTAGTAACAGAAGATACACAATTTCAAAGGCATGCAAATGGGGGGAAATGAACATTGGAAGAGATGCAAATTCTAAGGCGAAACTCTGCTTCCTCATCAAGTCGGTGACATTTAAAAAATCTTTTTGAAAAATTCAAAACTCACAGAATATTTGCAAGAATCATATAAAGAATGTCCCTATCGCGTGGTGACACACGCCCGTAGTCCCAACTACTGGGGAGGCTGAGGCAGGAGAAACACTTGAACCTGGGAGGCAGAGGTTGCGGTGAGCTGAGATCATGCCACTGCACTCCAGCCTGGGCAACAAGAGCAAAATACCGTCTCAAAAAAAAAAAAAAGAAAGAAAAAAGAGAAAGAATGCCTCTATCTGCTTCACTTAGATGTGGCCAATTGTTTCAGAAATGGCTGTTTAAAACAATTGTCGCCAGGACTGGGGAGGTGGGATGAAATGGACTGTGTCAATAGAGGGTTAAAAATATTTTATTTATTTATTTTAATTTATTATGTTTTTGAGACGGAGTCTTGCTCTTTTGCCCAGGCTGAAGTACAGTGGCACAATCTCAGCTCACTGCGACCTCTGTCTCCCAGGTTCAAGCAACTCTCCTGGCTCAGCCTCCCGAGTAGCTGGGATTATAGGTGCTCACCACCACACCTGGCTAATTTTTGTATTTTTAGTAGACATGGGGTTTCATCATATTGGCCAGGGTGGTCTCGAACTCCTGTCTTCAAGTGAACCACCTGTCTCGGCCTCCCAAATTGTTAGGACTATGGGCATTGAGCCACCGTGCCCAGCAATGGTAAAAATATAAAAGGACTCTTCTGGGAAGCAATCTGGCCAGATAGGCTTGACCCAGTATTTACACCTCTGTGACACCATCCACGGGAAAAATCTTAAATACTGTAAAAGGTTTATGAAGAAATATGTTTCTTTGCAGCATTTTATGTCATAGCAAGAAGCTGAATATTTCCCAAATGCCTACAGCATGGGGGATAAGAAAACCAGGAAACCTACTCAGTGGAATATTTTTGTAATGAAAAAAAAAAAGTCTACAAGGAAAATACTAGTGATCATGATTAGTGAAAGAAAAGATTATATTATACAGTGGGACCATTTATATTTAAAAGGTAAATGACAACAAAAATCTTTACAAATGAACCTGGAAGGAAATACCCTAAAATAGTAAGTAGTTTTTGCTAGAAAATGTGCCTAGAGAAGGTTTCCTTTTTGTACTTTTCTGAATTTTCTGATTTGATTTTAATAAGCTATACCACTTGCATTATAAAAAATGTATCCTTTAGAGGTTTTATTATTTTATTAGAGTAAGGCCTGTCAGCTATAGAAACAATTCGTAATAGACAATGCATAGCGTTGAAAATGAATGCCTCCTGACCTGATTCTAATTCTCTGCAGTTTCCAGAGTTAGTACATTAGTACATTACTGAGGCTGGGCCTGGCGGCTCATGCCTATAATCCCAGCACTTTGGAAGGTAGAGGTGGGAGGATTCAAACTGTTGAATTGAGGTGATGCACTCTTGAGCTGAGGAGTTCGAGCCCAGCCTGGGCAGCATCGTGAGAACTCATTGCTACAGAAAATAACTTAGCCAGACACAGTGGTGTGTGCCTGTGGTCCCAGCTACTCAGGAGGCTGAGGTGGGAGGATCACTTAGGCCCAGGAGTTCAAGGTTGCAAACAGCTATGATCCCACCACCGTACTCAAGCAGGGGCAACAGAGAGGGAAACTGTCAATCAATCATCAGATAGATTAGTGAATCATGAACATCCTTTCATACTTCTTCCTAAACAGAAATGTACTTCCTAAAGGCAAAAGTGGGAACAGGAATATATCAATTCTCCAACTTACATTTTGTTTTTCACTTTTCATCTTAATCATCTTTCTATGTCATGACTTCTCGACTTATCTCTGTTTTTTTTTGAGACGGAGTTTCGCTCTTGTTACCCAGGCTGGAGTGCAATGGCACGATCTTGGCTCACCACAACCTCCGCCTCCTGGGTTCAGGCGATTCTCCTGCCTCAGCCTCCTGAGTAGCTGGGATTACAGGCACGCGCCACCATGCCCAGCTAATTTTTTTGTATTTTTAGTAGAGAAGGGGTTTCACCATGTTGACCAGGATGGTCTCGATCTCTTGACCTCGTGATCCACCCGCCTCAGCCTCCCAAAGTGCTGGGATTACAGGCTTGAGCCACCGTGCCTGGCATCTCTTTGCTTTTAACAGATGTATAAGATCACATAGATGCCTTATAATTCATTTCACCATCTCTCAAGGGAGATTTAAGGGATCAAGGGTAATGATTGTTCACTATTATATACAGTGTTTCAATGAATATTTTTGCATTTAGCGTACGAATAGATATATGTAAAAATATCTTTGAATAATTACATATAAATTATATATATTATATATAATAAAGTCAAGTTAAAAATGTTTTTATTATTTTGTGATTCAAAATTATTTTAAAAGTTAGTATGTGGTATCTGAAGTGAACATGACGAAGTATTAATCTGTTAAATCTGGATGGTGAATGCACGGGCTGTTATAGTCTTTCCTGCAGTTTTCCATTTATAGAAAATGATTTTTTATTAATATTTCAAGATTAAAAATGTAAAACAATATAAAAGAAGAGGTGGAAAATGATGTGTATTTACTCACTGTGAAAACAGCAAAGCCTCATTAACTAGAAACTAGCCCCAGGAGAGGGCTTTGTTTGCTTAAAAAGTCCCCATGATGCCCAGAGCTGTGCAAACATTTTTAAGTGGGAGAGGAGGACCACTAATATTTTCTGAGAGGTTGCTCTGGGCCAGCCACTGTTCTAAGTGCTTTACATATATTATTTAACTTTAGTAAACAACTAGGTGGCAATTAAACTAAACTCAATGACTTGCAGATGATAAATGCTTGTTAGAATTACAAAATAAAATAAACGTAATGGAAGTGCTGATGTTGGCAAAATAGAAAAAAACAAATTGCAAAAAACACTCGGGCCGGGTGTGGTGGCTTACGCCTGTAATCCCATCATTTTGGGAGGCCGAGGCGGGTGGATCACGAGGTCAAGAGATTGAGACCATCCTGGTCGACACGGTGAAACCCCGTTTCTACTAAAAATACAAAAAATTAGCTGGGCACGGTGGCGCGTGCCTGTAATCCCAGCTACTCAGGAGGCTGAGGCGGGAGAATTGCCTGAACCCAGGAGGGGGAGGTTGCGATGAGCCTAGATCGCGCCATTGCACTCCAGCCTGGGTAACAAGCATAAAACTCCGTCTCAAAAAAAAAAAAAAAACTCGGAAAGGTCTAATTCCAGATGCACATGCAAATGAATCACCCTGGATATGCACTCAACTGAATGAGGAAATTAATGCAGACAGACATAAATGACCTAAAAGCACTGGCTGGGTTGCCCACACCCCAAGCGGGACAGCATTACCCCATTTCCATCTTTCCCATGTGCAGGTCATCTGGTCCTGCCTATTTGCCTCCTAAATATTGCTGGATTGTCTACCTCTTTTCTTCTGAGGCTCAGGCCTAAAGATCCTAAAGACTTTCTTTGATGTGTCTATTCTGACTAGATAATACATTCACATGGCTCAAAAATTAAAATGCACAAAACGTATGTAAGGAAACATCTCCTTTCTACCTCTGTTTCCACTCACATTTCTCTTCCCAAAGACAACATCTATTTCCAGCTTTTTCTTTTTTTTTGGTGGGGGGACAGGGTCTTGCTCTGTTGGCCAGGCTGGAGTGCAATGGCATGATCTCGGGTCACTGCAACCTCCACCTCCGGAGTTCAAGGGATTCTCATGCTCAGTCTCCCGAGTAGCTGGGATTACAGGCAATGTGCCACCATGCCTGGTGAATCTTGTATTTTTAGTAGAAATGGGGTTTCACTATGTTGGTCAGGCAAACTCCTGACCTCAGGTGATCCACCTGCCTTAGCCTCCTAAACTTCTAGGATTACAGGTGTGAACCACCACACACAGCTTCTTGTCTGTCCTTCCAGAGAGGTGTATGTACAGATAAGCAAACATATATATAGAGAGATATATAATTTTTTTTTTGAGATAGGGTCTTGCTCTGTCAAGGTTGGCATGTAGGGGCAAAATCACAGCTCCCTGCAGCCTCAAATTCTTGGGCTCAAGCGATCCTCCCACCTCAGCCTCTTGAGTAGCTGGGACTACAGGCGCGTGATATCACATCTGGCTGATTTATTTTTATTTTTTTCATGGAGACAGGATCTCACTAAGTTGCCCAGGCTTCTGACATCAAGTGATCCTTCTGCCTCAGCCTCCAAAGTGCTGGGATTACAGGTGTGAGCCACCATATCTGGCCAGATATGATTTTTAACAGGAATGAGAACATATTTTCACGCTGTTTGAGACAATTTTTTTCCCAATTAACAAGACATCTTGGCCATTATTTCATATCAGTACATAAAGCACTTTCCCCATTCCTTTTTAAGAGCTTCATAGTATTCCACTGTATAAAGGAGCCATTCATTTCATTGTTCCCTATTTTTTGCTCTCACAAACAAGGCTGCGCACTGAATAACCTTGAAGCCTGTCTTGTTCTACACTGCAAATGTACTTGTAAGATGATAAATCCCCAAAGGGGAATTGCTGGGTCACAGGGTTGTGTGCATTTGTCTTTTAACAGATCTTTGCCAGACTGTCTTCAAAGAAGTCACGCCAATCAATGTGCAGTCCCGCCAGCAATATATATATTCTCCCAGCCTCACCAAGACAGTGTGTTACCAAACTTTTGGTCTCTGCCAATCGGATTAGCGAAAATAGCATTGTACTTGAATGAATGAGTGGGCCAATGACTAAGCACTGAAGAGGAGGCACATAAAAGGATGCAAATGGGTCAGGTACGGTGGTTCACACCTGTAATCCCAGCACTTTGGGAAGCTGAGGCAGGTGGATTACCTGAGGTCGAGAGTTCAAGATCAGCCTGACCAAACATGGAGAAATCCCATCTCTACTAATAATACGAAAAAAAAAAAAAAAAAAATTAGGGCCAGGCGCAGTGGCTCACACCTGTAATCCAAGCATTTTGGAGGCCAAGGCGGGCGGATCACCTGAGGTCGGGAGTTCAAGACCAGACTGACCAACATGGTGAAACCCCATCTTTAAAAAAAAAAAAAAATTAGCTGAGCGTGGTGGCAGATTCCTGTAATCCCAGCTACTTGGGAGGCTGAAGAGGAAGAATCGCTGGAACCTGGGAGGCAGAGGTTTCAGTGAGCCGAGATTATGCCATTGCACTCCAGCCTGAGCAACAAGAGGGAGACTCTGTCTCAAAAAAAAAAAAAAAAAGGATGCAAATGTTCCTTTGGGGTTAAAACTGTCCGACCCTAGGAATATTAGGCATAGCACCAGAACTAGCAGTGTGCAGTGAGCTGCTCTGAGTGGAATTGGCCTCTCCTGTGGAATCACCCCTACAAGACTGGAGGCTCCCAGAGGGAAGGGACCAGACCGGTGTTGTAAACTGTCTCCTGTGCCCAGACCACAGCAGGCACTCAGCAAACACCTGTGGGACAAAGGAGCTCACTTGGGACTGGCCAGAGTGTAGGAAGGGTAGGTGTGTGGGGGGTGGTTAGGCAGGATCCCAGGATACACTGGTCATCTATGCTGTTCAATGTGAATCGGGTGTTGGAGAATCGGGCAAAGCCATCCCGGTAGAGCCAGGCCCGCAGCGGGATATACTGAGGCAGAGGTGGAAAGAGAGAGAGAAGAGAAAGTGTATACATGTAGGCACTCTCACACCACCTAGCTCTTGCACCTACCATTTCCTCCCCCGGGAGTCCCCTTCTGTCTTTCCCAAATCAGACACCTGCTCTCACACCAGGCTTCTTTGATTTTATCCCCTCCTTTCAGGGGGAAAGGGGATACAGAAGGAAATAGAATGAAGGTGAGGTCCAGGAAGACAGGGCAGAGTCTGTCTTAGACACCCCCATAGCCTGTGTCCAGCATAAAGGTTTGAACGTTGGCTGAAGGGATCAATGAATGGGTGGAAGGAATATAGCAATATTAATATTCTTAATACCCCTGACTAAGAGAGGCTCTGAGGCCAGGCTGCCTGGATTTATGTCCCAGCTCTGCTGCTCACCAACTGTGTGACCTTGGGCAAGGTACACAACCTCTCCATATCTGTCCCCTCATTGTAAAGGGAGGATAATAATAGAACCTGCCTCCCTGGGTTGTTAGGAGGCCTGAATGTGATAAAACCTGCTAAGTGCCGGGGCCTGGTACTTAGTAGGTACTCAGTGAATGTCTGCTGTGGATGACAGAATGAATAAAAAAGGGCAGAGAGAGAGCAAATCTAGATTTGGGGGCATCTAAGATGGTTAACTTCAGGTACGTCTCCCCGCCCCCACCCCATCCCTAGATGTCCCCCGGGCTCTCTCAGGCAGAGATAAAACCAGACAAGCTTACACAAGGTACCCGCAGGCCATTTCCCCCATCTCCAGAGTCCAGCCACCCTTTAACCCCTGCTGGAGGAGGGTCCCCCGCTTCGTTACTCACCGACATCACCAGCACGTAGACACGCAGGTCAAACTTGCGGCCTGTCAGACAAGGAAAGAATTCGTGCGACAAATAGTGATCGTCAGACATTGTGCTAGGTTTTGGGGAAATAGCGGTGGACAGACAGACAGGAAACCCTGCCTTTATGAAGCTCCTACACAAGGGGCCAGGCACAGCGCCTCATGCCTGTGTGATCCCAGCACTCTGGGAGGCTGAGGCAGGAGGATCACTTCAGGCCAGGAATCCAAGACCAGCCTGAGCAACATAGTGAGATGCTGGGTCTACAGAAAATTAGCCTCCCATGGTGGTGCCCACCTGTAGTCTCAGCTACTCTGGAGATTGAGGCAGGAGGACTGCTTGAGACCAGGAGATGGAGGCTGCAGTGAGCTATGACCATGACATTGCACTCTAGTCTGGGTGACAGAGACGTGGGCTCGGAGAACACAACAAAAACTACACAAGGTATAAAGAGAGAATAATGGGAGGCGGAGAGGGATGGGTGGGGGTCAACCTGGGGGAAAGGCTTGAAAGTCAGTAGTCAAATAAGACCCCCTTGGGGAGTAGGAACCTTCACGGAGGTTACTATTTTCATAGTAATAACCTTCACAGTGCCCGCCTAGCCCAGAGTGGTGCAGGTCCTTGGGTGGGAGAAACTGCGAGAACAGAAGCTTGGAGGGGGAAAGAGCTTGGGCCAAGGGCAGAGAGGAAGGAGATGAGGTTGGCTAGGCGGGCAGAGGTCAGGCCCCATGCACTTTTGGGGTTCTGTCCCAAAAACCATGGGAAGCCACAGAAGGGTATCTCCTCCCTCTGGCTGCCATTTGGGGTGGAGCAAAACGGGCAGAGCAGCAGTAGGCACCAATGAGGAGGAGAGCGTAATTGTCCAGGAGGGAGAGGATGGTGGCTGGGACCCGGGCAGAGGTGAGAGGAGCGGCCAGACAGATTCAAGAGCTTGTGGGAGCTTGGTGAGAACCAGATGTTGGGGGAGGAAGGGGACATACCCAGAATGGCTCCTGGCTTCTGGCTGCATCCCCGATGGAGAAGCTGAGGAATGGTGGGGGGATGGCAGGGCAGAATTAGGGGTGTGTTGGGTTTGAGTGGTTGGCAGATGCCCAAGAGGGATGTCACAGGCTGCTGGAAATCAGGATCTGAGGTTCAGGGGCAAGGTCCTGGCTGGGGACAGAAAGCTGGGAGTCACTAGTCTTTGAGTGGTGTTTAAGTCACAGACAGGACAGGGTCACTATGGGGGAGAGAGAAGAGACCCAGGGGCTGCCCCCTGGGGAAGGTAATTGCCAGAAGACATGGGAACTGGCATTAACACTATTGCAATGATGTCCCCCATGCCTGATGTCCTGTAGTTCCCAGAGCCCAAGTGAGAAAAGCAGATGCCAGGCACACCTGGGGCAACCCACCAAGGTTGCAGGGAGGAGGCTGGGTTCTACCTCAGGGCCTGTGCCCTTGCAATTCCGCCTCCCTGCATTCCTCTCCCTCCAAATCTACCCACAGTGACTCCTAGTTGCCACTCAGGTCTCAGCTCACATGTCACCTCCTGGCCCCCACATCATTCTCTGTCCCATTGCCCTACTTGACTGACTTCATAACACCAGCACTGCATGGGACTGTCCCGTGGTGTGTTGTCTAGTTTATTACAGCCTGCTCATTGAGGGTGTAAACTCCAGGAGAGCAGGATGGGGGGCAGCATTCAGTGCAGCGCTAGCACCAAATAGGCACTTTAAAATATTTGTTGGATAAATGCGTGAAAGAGTAAGTTGGTTTTTAAAGGAGGAAAATTTTCCTGAACCAAGAAGGGAATGGAAAGGGCATGCCAGGCAGAGGGACCTGTATGGGCAATGGCTAGGAGGTGGGAGACTGCGGAACTGATCTCTTTCCATGTGTCCCTTCACGCCTAGTGTCAGGCTGGGCCCTTGGCAGCTGCTGGTCAAGGCTTGTTGACTGACTATTTGATGACCGTGCAATAGAAGAGCAGGAGCAGAGACGGCCATCTCACCTCCTATCAGGTACGGATTTTCTATGTAACGCTGAGCCACATAGTTCTCCACAGTAATATCATCTTTCTGGTCGTCAGAGTTTCTTGTGTCCTAGTAACAATAATAATGGAACATTTATTTATGGATCATTGCCTGAGTACTAGGCACTGTGTTAGACACTACTTAGGATAGCTCATCGGATCTTTAAATCAACCCTATCAGGTAAGTACTAATGTGATTCCAATTTCAAAGACAAGAAACTGAAGGACAGAGAGGGAGGGTAACTTGTTCAAGGTCACACAGCCAGTTAGTGATGTCACTGGGATGTGAACCTACATGGTCTGGGCCCAGAGCCTGAGTGTTTAACCTCTAGACCTGTGTTGCCCAGTAGGGCATTTACATTTACCTTGATGGAAAGTAAATGAAAGTACATGCTTAATAAATGAAAGGTGAAACTTGAAAACACAGGCCAAGTGAAATAAGCCAGGCACAAAAGGACAAGTATGCTCTGATCCCACTTAGATGAGGTGGCTAGAGTAGTCGAGGTCATAGAGACAGAAGGTAGACGGGTGTTCCAGGGGCTGGGGAGAGGAGGGAATGGGGAGCTGGTGTTGATCAGGCACAGTTTCAGTTTGGGAAGGTGGGAAGTTCTGGACATGGACAGTAGTGGCGGCTGCAGAACGGTGTGAATGTACTTACGACCCAGACACTTCAAAGAGGTTACGATGGAACTTTCATGTTATTCTATCTTCTACCACAGTTTAAATTTTTTTTTTTTTTTTTTGAGAATGAGTCTCGGCCAGGCGTGGTGGCTCACGCTTGTAATCCAAGCACCTTGGAGGCCAAGGCGGGCGGATCACCTGAGGTCGGGAGTTCGAGAGAATGCTTCTCATTCTCTTGCCCAGGCTGGACTGCAGTGGCACGATCTGGGCTCACCGTAACCTCCACCTCTCAGGTTCAAGCAACTCTCGTGTCTCGGCCTCCCGAGTACCTGGGATTACAGATGAGAGTCACCACACCCAGCTAATTTTTGTATTTATAGTAGAGATGGGATTTCACCATGTTGGCCAGGTTCGTCTCAAACTCCTCGCCTCAAGTGATCTGCCTACCTCAGGCTCCCAAAGTGCTGGGATTACAGGTATGAGCCACCGTATCCAGCCTATAATTTTAGAAAAGGATGTGAAATTTAAAATCCAGTCCTCAATCACACCAGCCACGTGGCAAGTGCTCAACATCCCGCCTGTGGCTAGTGGTCACTGCATTGGAGAGCACAAATATCAACCATTTCCATCCCTCTAGAAAGTTCTGTTGGCCAGTGGCCTACGCCACCTATGGGCCTCCAAAGACATGGCTCCTTCTTCTCTACCTGCCAGCCCAGCTCGGGAGGACAGCAACGCTCTCATGCATGGGCACAACATCTCGCAGGCTGCAAATGCCTTTCCCACCCGTTGTCCCCTTTGCTCAAAGACAAGGGTCACACACTTGATGGGGTCAATGGCAGGCAGCCCAATGGCAGGCAGCACTGGCTCTCAGGACAGACCTGCTCCACCCACCATTGCTCCCCGCTCTACTGTGTGAAGACAAAAGCAGCCAGGTCTTGCCTTCCTGGGACCTGGGTCCAGCTCCACCTCCACTCATGTGGCTGCCAGATGGACTGACAGTACTCCTCCAGGCAGGCTGGGCCTCCAGGCTGCTTCTTCCCTGCAGTGCCCTGACAGTTTCATGGGAGGAGTCAAGACATTTAGCACTGCTACGCGCCTCTTGGTACAGCAGGTGCCAGTCCTATAGGATTTCAGCCATCCTGCTCCTCCCACCCACCCTGCACCATCATCACCACTCAGCTTGAGAGGGCTTCAGCCATTTTCCCAAGACCACACAGCTGCTGAGTGGGAGAGGCAGGATTTGAACCAGGATTTCTACTGCACTGTGTATTGGGACAAGAATGGAATGGGGGTGGGAGGGAGCTGCCGCAAAGCTCAGTCTAGGCCCTGAAGGAAGAGTCAACCATACTATCCCCAGCCACGTGAGCGGGAGGCCCAGATAAAGAATGTGCATCAGCTGGGTGTGGTAGCTCACGCCTGTAATCCCAGCATTTTGGGAGGCTGAGACGGGCAGATCACGTGGTCAGGAGTTTAAGACCAGCATGGCCAATATGGTGACAATGTCTCTACTAAAAAATACAAAAAATTAGCCAGGCATGGTGATAAGCGCTTATAATCCCAGCTATTCAGGAGGCTGAGGCAGGAGAATTGCTTGAACCTAGGAGGCAGAGGTTGCAGTGAGCTGAGATGGTACCACTGCACTCTAGCCTGGGTGACAGAGTGGGACTCTGTTTCAAAAAAAAGAATGTTCATCAAGCACTGAGTATCAGACACTGTGCTCGGGGAGGAAGGGTGTGTGTGTGTGTGTGTTTGCTTATCAATTACCATCTCAATCTACTGAGGCATTGACAGGTGAGGTAACTTAGCCAAGGGCACACAGCTATTGAGTGATTGAGTCACAAGGTCAAGATTTGAATCTGGACAATCTGGCTCTGGATACCCCCACTCCAGTGGGCAGGCCTGTGGGTAGTTTCTCGCCAGCCCTCTGAGCTTTGATAGCAGGAAGGAGGGGCCCCTCCAACAGCGAGGTAAGAGGTGGGTTCCGGGAGGAAGGGGGAAGAAGCAGGCTCACCTTCCTCCAGTCCATGATGTCCTTCAGCCTGCGGAAGAGGAAGATGCCTTTCCCCTGCGACCGGGCTACCTGAGGAGGGGTGGGGGCAGAAAGCCGGCTCTTAGCTCTGAGTGGTTCCCTGTTGGCTCCCTTGGCTGGGGCCTCTCCCCAGCCTCTCTCTGTTTCTTTTTCCTCACGAGCCTCCAGCTCTCCCCAGAGGAAGGCTAGCTGAAGGGGCTGGAACAGAGAAGGTGCTAACCCTGGCAGAGGGAGAGAGGAAAGGAAAGGAAGGGGGAGACTGACTTAGCTCACAAAGACATACATTTGCATGAATAATGCAAAAGAACAGACCATTAAAAAGCCATTTCTAACAGTCTTGAGAACATATCATCTGATTCTTTTTTTGGAAATCAATTTGCCTTCATAATTAGGGTTTGCTTCGGCTAATACTGAAATCAGCCTGGCTTTACTGAACCCCAGCATGGATAATTCATAGCTTCACAGAGTAGGGGCTAGAAGAATCTTTGATCTTATACAGAGGGGTCCTCAGCGAAGGCATCACTCCCCTTCTACCACTATAGAAGGGCGACAGTCTCCCGCCTGGCGTGCACACCCACAGTGCCTAGGAGCTCACTACCTCCCCCACCCACGCCAAACATAGCTCATTTGGTTACAGGATAGCTTTGTAAACACTCATCCAAAGAGTATATATGAGGTGCATACTGTATGTTGAGTATTATGCAATAACCCAGACCTCATGGAACACAGTCTAACTTGTGTTGAGCTAAAATTGGCCAGTCCGGCTTTGGCTCCTAGGAATCAACAAAGTTGATTCCTGGGTACCAAAAGAGTCTTTTAGGTATCTGCAGCCACTGAGCAGGTCCCCCAGGTCATCTTTCCTCCAGTAGATATGCAAACTCTTATTTCCTTCTGTTCTCCTCTGAGCATGGCCCACCTGGCCCACCTGAGGCTCTCTGTCGGGGCAGGCAGGGCTGTCAGGTGTGGTGGCACAGGTTGTCTACTGCTCTGCCTGAGTGTACCCTGGTTCAGGGGTGTGTGTGCCCACAAGACTGGGTGCCAAAAACACTATGGAGCACTGGTGGTGGCTCAGGGGCAGCTAAGTGTGCACAGCAGTTTCAGAAAGCAACTACTCAGTGTGCACCAGGAGCTTCCGCCAGTTCACAGCCTTGCAGAAGACTTGAACAGGCACTTTATGAAGATTACCAGTGTAAATGTGTCACAGCCTGGGCACAGTGACTCACATCTGTAATACTAGCACTTTGGGAGGCCGAGGTAGGAAGACTATTTAAGCTCAGGAGTTCAAGATAAGCCAAGGCAACATAGTGAGACCTCGAGACCTCGTTGCTACTAAAAATAATTTTTTTTATTTTTATTTATTTATTTATTTATTTAGAGATGGAGTTTCGCTCTTGTTACCCAGGCTGGAGTGCAATGGCCCGATCTTGGCTCACCGCAACCTCCGCCTCCTGGGTTCAGGCAATTCTCCTGCCTCAGCCTCCTGAGTAGCTGGGATTACAGGCACGCGCCACCATGCCCAGCTTATTTTTGTATTTTTAGTAGAGACAGGGTTTCACCATATTGACCAGGATGGTCTCGATCTCTTGACCTTGTGATCCACCCGCCTCGGCCTCCCAATAAAAATAATTTTTAAAAATAGCCGGGTGTGGCTGGGTGTGGTGGTTCACACCTCTAATCTCAGCAGTTTGGGAGGCCAAGGTGGGTGGATCACTGGAGGTCAGGAGTTTGAGACCAGCCTAGCCAACATGGCAAAACCCCGTCTCTACAAAAAATACAAAAAGTAGCTGGGCGTGGTAACACGCATCTGTAATCCCAGCTACTCGGGAGGCTGAGAGGCACAAGAATGTCTTGAACCCAGGAGGTAGAGGTTGCAGTGAGCCAAGATCGTGCTACTGCACTCCAGCCTGGGTGACAATTTCAAGACTTCGTATAAAAAAAAAAATAGCTGAGTGTGATGGTGCACCCCTGTAGTCCCAGCTACTTGGGAGGCTGAGATGGAAAGAAGACTTGAGCCCAGGAGATTGGGGCTGCAGTGAGCAGGGATTTAGCACTGCACAGCCTGGGCAACAGGGAGGGAGGGGGGGGGGAGGGAGGGAAGGAAGGAAGGAAGGAAGGAAGGAAGGAAGGAAGGAAGGAAGGAAGGAAGGAAGGAGGAAAGAAAGAAGGAAGAAAGGAAAGAAAGAAAAGAGAGAGGGAGAGAAAGAGAGAGGGAGGGAGGGAGGGAATGGAGTGGGGAGGGGGGAGGGAGGAAGGAAAGAACAGGCACTCAGCCTCATCAGAGTTTACCAACAGAGAAGTGCTAATTGACAGAGCAGGAGCACGGTCATCTTGGACAAATACCAACACTTTAAATTCCACCTCCCTTTCTACCCTCATGCATTCCAAGGAAATCACTTCTCTTCTAACTACAAGCAGCCAGAAAAAGCAGACAGTAAAACACAGATAAGACAGCTCAGGCACAGAGAGAGGTGGGAGGAAAGTCTCTCGGGTAACTGCCAAACTTCACCCTCATACAACGGGCCCCAGTAAAACACTGGGCTTTAATAAGCACGTTCCTTTCCCTTCAGGTGCACAAAGACAGGGAACCTAAAAGCAGATTCCTGGGATATGCCTGCAGCTGCAGGAAGACCAATGGGAACAGACACACAACTCTCCCTCCCAGATAAGCATAACAAAGAAACATGGAAGCAGTCCAAGCCTCTACTAAACTCTCCCACCCTGAATCCTTAAAAAGTCTTGGTCTGTAAGAGAGTGTGGCTCTGACCTAACTCGGCCAGAAGCTCCTCTCAGGTTTGTTTTCTCCAAAATAAACCTGTCTTAACTGGCAAGCCACTTCTTGTGTTTCTTTTCTCTTTCTTTAATTCTTACACTAATGAAAATCACAATATGATACTACTATATACTACCTGAAAATGGTCACATTTAAAGACAGACAATACCAAGTATTGGTGAGGATGTGGAGAAAAACTGGAACACACTGCTGGTGCGAGAGTGCGAGAGTACATTGTTTGGAAACTGGCAGCATTTGCTAAAGCCAAACAGGCATCCTCTATCCTATGTCCCAGCAATTATTCTCCTAGGGACCTACATGACAGAAATGTCTGTACATGTCACGATGGACATGGCCCCAGACACCCATAGCAGCAGTATCATAATAGTTCCACCCTGAAACTCCCTAATGGATGAATATTTATTCAATGAAACAGTATACAATGATAACAGTTAACAATGTACAATTACCCACATCAGCAGAATGAACTGCAAAAACATGTCAAGGGAGAGAAACCAGACACAAGGTAGTCATCCTATAAGATTCCAATTACAGGCCAGGCATGGTGGCTCATGCCTGTAATCCCAGCATTTTGGGAGGCCAAGGCAGGCGGATCACCTGAGGTCAGGAGTTCAAGACCAGCCTGACCAACATGGAGAAACCTATCGCTACTACAAATACAAAATTAAGCCAGATGTGGTGGTGGCTGCCTGTAATCCCAGCTACTCAGGAGGCTGAGGCAGGAGAATTGCTTGAACATGGAAGGTGGAGGTTGCAGTGAGCCAAGATCGTGCCATTGTACTCCAGCCTGGGTAACAGAGCAAGAGTCTGTCTCAAAAAAAAAAAAAGATTCCAATTATATAAAGTCCAAAAGCAGACAAAGCAAACCTATGCTGTTTAGTGCCTGGGGTAGGGTGGGGGTTGTGAGTGAGTGAAAGGGGCCCTGAGAGGGCTGCTGAGGGGTAGGGAATGCTCTGTTTATGATCTGGGTCCTGGTTACTTGAGTAGATTCACTTTGCAAAATTCATACTGTGCCCCTATAATTTGGCTACTCTTCCATATTATATTAAAATTATCTTTTTAGGTTCATCTACTTTGATCTAGAAGCCTCTATCCCCAACCCTGTTGGCTGCCCTCCCTATGACCACTTTCCTTCCTCTTCTTCCTTGCCAGAAAAACCCATGCAGGAGGCTGGAAAGGCCAGATGCTGGTTTTCCCAGCTTCCTTTGCAATTGGTGGAAACCACATGACCAGTTTTGGCCAATCAGACCTAAGGAGACATTTGCTCAGAGATTCCAGGAAAGATGTTTCTCCTTGTTAAAAATATTAGGGAAAGAGCCGGGGAGAAAAGCAGGGTAGGGAAGAAACATCCTGGCCTCCTTCCTTCTTTCTTTGAATGCTACAGTCTGCAGAGAGGATGCCTGTGACTGCAGCAGCCATGTCACATCCATGAGGTGACAAGTCTGATGACAAAAAGCCAGCACACAGAATGCAGAGTGGATGGAGAGAAGGAGCCTGGGCCTCTAGCAGGATCATCAAGCACATCCCCAACCCTGGATCTGCCTACCCTCAGCCTTCTTGTCGTGTGAGATAACAAAATGCCTTTCTTGTTGAGGCCATTGTTAGTAACTTGACACGACTGGTCCAGGAGGTGCCTTCCTAAGGGACTAACCCTAAAGAATGAAAGATGAACCACCTGCATGGTGTTACTTTGGGGTTGGTGAGATAGAAATCACCTAATACCTATCTCTAGCAGATGGCAATTTCCAAAAACCACCACAACAATATTTCCAGTACCTTATGTTCTCCAGAACCCTGTCAAGAGGTAAAGTCAATGACCCTTCCCCTTGAATCTGGAAGTGTCTCTACTAATTGCATGTGGCAGAAGTGATGTGTGGTTTCCAATGCCAGGTCATAAAAGGCAATACAGCTTCTGCCCGGCTCTCTCTTTCAGGATGGTTGCCCTCAAAACCCAGCAGGCATCCCGCAGAGAAGCCCAGGTCACAGGGAGTGGCCCACACGGAAGGCAACTGAGTCTTCCAGCCCTCAGTCCTGGCTGAATTCCCAGCCAAGAGCCGGCACCTACTTGCTAGAGGCAGCTCGGAAGGGGGCCCTCCAGTTCTCAGTGGATGCTGGAGCACAAATGAGCCTTCCCTGTCAAGCGCTGTCCACACAGGGGGATCATGAACGAAATAAGACATTATTATTGTTTCAAATCACTATGTTTGGGAGTTTGCTACTCTGAAATAGATCACCAGAATTTTAGCTTTAGTAGAATGGT